TATATATATATATATATACTTTTTTTTTGGCGGTACTGTGTGGACTGTGCGTTGCGTACCATTGGGGTGATTATTTTGGCTGTTTGTGCCGTGCTCTTTTTCGTTCTCTTCACTCACGTGCACAGATCGGCCCTAGGACTATAGTGTGATAATGAGTACCTTGACTGGTCGTGGGCAGACGCGCCTATACGTGCGCATGGAGGGGCTGTGCCCTTTCGCCCTGCTGCTTGACGACGATGCGAGCGCTGATGTACTCGAGCGCGCCGCACGCCACTACGCGTGCGAGCGGTACGGATTGAAGGCGGACGCGGAGCATGTGATGGTGCGCCGCATCCTTTTCACCGGAGGCGATCAGCTGATAGACTTCGCCCTCGTGAGGAAGAAGCGACTTCCTGAAGACTTGCCTGATGCGGAATCAACGGCGACGCCCGCCCGAAACGTAGGGAGGAACTTTGCCTTCGTTGACGTGCTGCCAGCGTACCACAACTCCGACTCACCCGACGCCGTCCGCGAGTCGTACCGGACGGGGGCGACGTCGGCTTTGGACGACCATGAAGTAACGGCGAAGAGCCGCGGAGCCAAGGAGGCGTGGGACGCTGCCGCTCTCCTCCCATCGCCCTTGTATTTCTCCTTCGTGGCCTTTAACCGACTTGTTCTCATGATGACTGACCCGCGCGGCCTGCAGCGGGAGTTGCTGACTCGCGTTGTCCTCCTCACATATCGCCAGTTTGTGTCAGCAGACGAGCTGCTGGAGCGGCTGATTGAACGGTACGAGGTGCCGCCGTTGGTAAAACTGGGAGAAGCGGATCGTAGCCCTCTCGAGCACCACGCGTACGTGGAGTTGTGCCGCGAAATCCAGTGTACGGTGTTCAGTGTGCTTGAGTTGTGGGTGAAGAGCTATTACGAGGATTTCTCCAATGATGCATTGCACCTTCGCCTGCACGTGTGGGCCAAGGATAAGATTGACCGGTGTGGCGCCCCTACTGCGCTACTGCGGCTGATGGCAAAGGGTGACCGAAGGGCTCTGCACGCCCGCACGCCGAAGATCCTCCCGGGAATCCCAAGGAAGGGAGGCACGCCGACAGCACTGCTGATTCAACACACACCGAATGCAATCGCTGCCCAACTCACCATTTTGACGTCACATGTCCACCGTCACCTCACGGGGCCAGAGCTGATCGGCCAGCGGTGGAAAACTGAGGAGGTGAGTTTCATACCTAACTTCATTCAATATCGAGATTTTTTCTTTCGGGTGAACAACTGGGCATCATACGCCGTTGTCTCAGAGAGGGATTTAGAGCGGCGGACGCGGAATCTAACTGCGCTGATGTCTGTTTGCGACGAGCTTATCAAGTTGCGAAACTGGGACATGCTGGTGGCTGTGTACGGCGGGCTAAGAGATCCGGCGGTGGTGCGCTTGTCTCTCACTTGGGCAGCTCTTTCAGGTGACGACGTTGCGCTCTTTGCCCAACTACAGAAACTACTAGACTCCGATACGGGCTACAAGACGCTTAAGAATGCGATGCAGAATGGGGAGCGGCCGCAGTTCCCATGCATCGCCGTCTTCTTTCAGGAGTTAAGGGATTTAGAGGAGGGCAGATGCTCGCAAGAAGGCCGTGTGAATTTTGGGCGCTGCCTGCAGCAATACCGGCTCCTTCAGTTTGTTCTCCTTGGGTCTGGCGCACAGGTTGATCAGCTGGTTCCTGATAGTGATTTGATGGGCGCGTTTTCCTTCTGGCGCCCCGTCGACGCTTCGGTGTTGATGGATCTCTCCAATGAAGTGGAAGGCAACTAAATGTGCTACACTACCTTTTGATGCTTATCGTCTTGTATAGGGTTGCAGCTGCTGCCAGACGCTGGAGTTTTGCGTTGCACCCTCTCTGTTTCTTTCGGCTGATGTCGTGAATGTGCGTTGAATATCTGCTCATTTTTCGGATGTCTGCGACAGGACGTATTCTCCGCAGGTTTCTTGCACCGCCGAGATTGACGGGAGGTCTATGGTGTTGTGCTTTGTTTTTCTGCTGTTTGGTGTACCGTTTGATTTGTCTTAGGATGTCGGTCAACACAGTAAATATATTAAGAGCCAGGCTTTGGCCTTTGCTGATGCATGGCCGCTGATTTCCAACGATTATAGACCATCACCAGAACCACATGCAAAGCGGCGAGGAGGCGGAGTCTCAACGCCGCCTGGCTACTGTTCACTTGGTTGTGACTCCTTGCACGAGATGACGGGAGGGAATCTTGGCATCTTTGCTGAGGAAGTGCTTCACCGCCTGCTGGGGGTAATACACGATGGGGAAAGAGTGCTCGTGGGGATGCAAGAAGGTGCACCAGAAGCGCGAATCCATCCTGCAGGCAAGAAGAAAAAGCTCGAAACAAACTGAATGAAGCTGGTGGACGTCAATATAAAACAGAAAGTAAGGTGAAGGCGCTTGGGGACGAAGATGATGGATCACCACGCATGATATGGGAACTCAATGCGTCCCATAAGTGCCAAAGAGGAGTGAAAAGAGATTTGGAGGACCCCCGAGTCGGGGTGGCGGTGACGCATAATGCGATGCTTGTTTCTGAGTCTTTCGGGGCTGCGCGTGATGTGCTGAAACCTGTTGTGTACTCTATAATTCAAGCAAGGCGCCAATGTAGGTAACACAGGGAGTAAACATCATCACCATACTGGGGAGACGATATGGATCGCTTGAGCATTCTGGCACCTTTAAGCCGAGTTACCGGGAAGGTGAGGCCTCGTGGTTTTGTATCTGGCGATCACCAGACCGGTTGACTGAATGCTGTGTGAGTGAAGTTGAACTATATGGAAAGGGGTTGTAAAGGAACTTTTGCCACCTTCTAACATTGCGCCCCTCTTTTCTTTTCACTTTTAAAGCTACTGTGCCCTGAATGAGAGTGGAGTGCTACGCTAAATCTCTTTCAAGGGAGACAATTTGATTGCTGTCATCCATCTTATTTCTCTTTTATTTTTGGGTGTATGCCAACCTGCATGGATCCCACTCCGCAGAGCGCTGTTGAACGCGGTTTTGATTTTGCGTTGCCTGTGTGCCAGAAACTGGAGACGTGAAAGAACAAAAAAGACGCGTCTTTGTGCACATACCATCGCTGTGGATGGAGCCTTCTGAGGACCCTGTGTGCGTGGCAACTTGAAGCTGCCCTTAACCAAGGGTGCGTTTTTTTTTGTTCTGCTCAGTTAAGGGTTGCTGTGAAGAAGAGATCTGAATCAGTTCGTCCCTTTTTTCCCCTCTTTTCTACTGCAGCAGAGCAGCCTTCGAAGGGGCAGGGGACAATACGAAGAGTTTTTGTGCCCTAATAATTCAGTTTGTTGCTTCTCTAGTCATGCGACACTCTCAGTTTATCTGGCACCCGCATCACCCCGAGACGCTGCGGAGCTTCAAGCGCTTCGTGTCCAGCGTACGCCTCCAAACGGACTTTGGGAATGCGATGCCGGCGCAGCGTCCGAAGAACTCGTCAATGCCGTTTTACTTGGCTGAGCCGGAAACGAGGAAGGGCTCATTCAGACGCTATTTGCGCACTGCGCGGGAGGAAGCGCCGTACATCGCAGCGGCTGTGGCTGGCGTTGGTCTCTACAGCGTGGCAACCCTTGCCATCCCTGCCGGTTTCGGCCAGCTGATCGACTTTGCGAGCAAAGGGGAGATGCCACTGGGGACGTCCATGCAGCTCCTGGGGTGGTTCGTCGTTGCCGGTGTGGGCAATTTCATGCGGCTAGCCTGCATCGGCTACGCCGGGGAACGTGTCATTGCACGACTTCGCAGCCGCTTGTACCGTGGCATCGTAGCACAGCCAATGGCATTTTTTGATTCACCAGAGAATGGCACGGGGGCCTTGGTGCAGCGACTCTCAATGGACTGCAACGTGGTTGGTAGCTCGCTCACGGAGGCCCTGACCCAAGGCAGCAAAAACCTTCTTCAAACAGTAGGTAGTATTGGTATCATGGTGTACTACTCTCCAACACTAACAGGTGTTATTTGTGGTATGATTCCTCCTCTGGCGATATTTGCCGGTATATACGGCCGCTATGTGCGGCGACTGCAGAACCAGATGCAGGACGCTCTTGCTGCCAAGGCGACTGTTGCAAGTGAACGACTGGGTAATATCCGCACTGTAAAGGCATTTGCCAGGGAATGGGGGGAATTAAAATGGTACGAGAAGAAAGTGGCTGCTGTCTTCGAGATAAGCAAACGCATGCTGTTCTACAATGCCTCTTACGTCTCTTCGCTACAGTTCGTTGGGTACGGTGCGTTGTACTGTATCATGTGGGCAGGGTCAATGCTCGTGGCGACGAACCATTTGTCGCCCGGTGTGCTCTTTTCGTTTGTACTCTACACAGTATACTGTGGCATTGGGCTCATGGGGCTCACCAACCTGGCGACGGAAATTAACAAGGGCTACGGGGCCAGCTTGCGAGTATACGATATCTTGGATCAAGAGGAGCGTCTGCAGAAGTTGCAGGGGGAGACAAAGAAGATTATTCCTCTGCATTGTAAATGGGAGATCAAGCTGAATGGGGTTTCTTTCGCTTACCCAACTCGCCCAGAGGCGCCAGTGTACGAGAAGCTTGACCTAGAAATCGTACCATCGCGCTGCACATGTGTGGTTGGCAGCAGCGGCTCCGGCAAAAGCTCTCTCGCGCTGCTGCTTCTGAAAATGTACGGGCCGACGGAGGGCAGTATCACTATTGATGGACTGGACTTGAATGACTTGAATACGCCCTGGCTCTGTGGTAAGATTGGCTACGTTGGCCAAGAGCCGGTGCTGTTTGGTGGATCCATCGCGCAGAACATCGCGTACGGCGCCCCCGACCACAAATGGGATGATCCCATCGACCGGTGGCTTTACTCCTCCGTCGTGGACGCGGCCATGCGGGCTAACGCGCACGATTTTATTTCAGCACTTCCACAGGGATACGACACCTTTGTCGGTGAGGGCGGCCGTTCACTCTCCGGTGGGCAAAAGCAGCGTATCGCCATTGCGCGTGCGCTTCTGCGTGCGCCCAACGTCTTGATCCTTGATGAGGCCACGTCCGCACTCGACAGCGAGTCGGAGGTGGTTGTCCACGAAGCCATCAGTCGGCTGATTGAAGATGCCAAGAATGGTAAAGAAAAACGAACAGTGCTCATGTTTGCGCACAAACTAAGTATGATTCGTAAGTCCGATCACATTGTTGTCCTCGACAAGGGGCGTGTGGCAGCTCAAGGTACATTTGAGGAAGTGCAAACGAATCCCCTATTCTGCCAGCTGGTTGGCCTCTCGCCCACGCCGAGGCTTTCAGGCGGACCTGACGCTGCGGTTCAGGGGAAATAGCCACAGCCGTTAAGAAGCTCAGTTGCTCTGCGGCATCAAGAATGTGCGCGAAGGGATGGTGGTGCGTTAGGGTGGACGGGACGAAATGCCTACCTCTTTTATCATTCAGTTAGGAGGTATGATGTAGAAACAGGTGACTAGGCGTTGCTGCTTCCCTCTTCCCGTGCTGCAATGTGCTCTGCATTCATTTTCTTCCTTCCCACACTTTATGGGACATTTATACCGTGGTTGGTTTAGATCTCTTTTTCGTTTGCGTGTGTGTGTGTGCAATCTTTGCGATTACCGAAAGAAAAAAAACACATTTAGGAATACGAGTGTGAGGAACAACAATGGAAATGACAGCTGAGAATGTGCCTGCTGAGGAATCAGCGTCCCCAGCGCAGCCGCAACAGCAACAGCAGGATCAAGAGCAGGAGCCACAGAAACAGCACGATCAAGAGCAGGAGCCACAAAAATGGCGGGAGAAGGCGAAGGAGCAGGAGCAGAATTCGCCGCAGCATGTAAGCGCATACAACACTCCCGAGCATGCGCCTTGTGGCAGTTCAGAGGATTTTCCCAACAACGGTAGTTCGCCTTTCATGTCCCGGCCCTGTTGCGCCACCGATCCGGAGCCATTGCGTAACCTCATCGTAAACTATCTCCCTCCCATGATGGATGAGGTACAGCTGTGCCATCTTTTCGGGCAGTTCGGGCCGATTGAGAGTGTGAAGATCATCTTTGACAAGGAGACAAGGGAGAGTCGTGGCTATGGCTTCGTGAAGTATGTCCACTTCTTTAGTGCAACATACGCAGTGAACTCTCTCAATGGCTACCACATTGGGGGGAAACGATTGAAGGTGGCGTATGCGAATGTTGAGGCCGCGATGGAAAACTACAGGGCACTGAGAATGTCGGCAATGATGTTCTCTATGCAACAGCAGATGGCTTTGCAGTCCGTATTCTGCCAGCAGATGCTGTTGGCGCGACAGCAAGGGGATGGGCCGCAGTAGCTGACGTGGGGAATGTGTCGCGATCGGCTGCCTTTATCTATCTTCCTTTATTTGTTTCCTTGCATGTGCAATTCGTTTTTGCTGCGTTTTTCAGTTGCTGCCACGTTGCTCATCGGCGTCATTTATTCTTCGAAAGAATTATACAGCAAAACCCAAAAGAAAAGAACAGTGAAAAAAATCGGAAGGGAGGGTGGGNGGTGGGTGGGGGAGGGAGTACAAGAGGCGCGGATCCCTGCACGATTTCTTTGCTTTAGTCCTCGAACTATGGGCCACGTCCTGCACGAACTGTGCGGGAGGGGGCCGGCAAAGGCAGCTGGCAGGGTGAGGGCCGCCACATATAGTGCTCCTACAGCTAAGCGGACGGTAGGCACGCGAACAAGACAGACGCGAACGGGGGAAAAAAACCCAGAGAGTAACAAAGGGGCTCTGCTGTGTATTTTGTTCGCTTTTGTTTGTTTCAAAGGCGATACAGTTCCGCGTAGATGAACAAAAAGAAAAAAAAAGCGACGAAGCAAGACGGCAAATACGTGACATTTTTTTTCGCCTTTCCGGTATGACTCCTTTTTTTGCATTTTTGGCGGATTTCACTACGCTGGGCGGTAGAGTAGCGGCTCCTCCCCGGCCGACTCTTCCATGCACGGGTAATACGAGCGGAAAGCGCAGCACGGCACACCCAGGATACAATGAGACAGAGAGACGGGAGTATATACATATACATATATATATATATATATATGCACATGTGAATTGATCTGGCTGGTACATTTAACAGACAAACACATTTGTACCCAGAAAAAGCCACACACACACACACACACACACACCTACACACACTCACACACACACACACCTACACACACACACTCACACGTGTGCAGCCTCCATCAGGTTCATTCCGATTAGCCCCACACCTCCCTTTTTTCATAAAGGGTCTTCATGCTGTTTCCTGCCATTCTTCCTGTTAAGTACTCTTCTTTTACCATTTCTTCTTCATTGCGTAATAGTCGTCGTGCTGTACAGAGTGTGCTGTACCACGTAGGCCATAGGGGCAAGGAGTTCGTCTGTGAAAGAATGAGGAAGAAGGAGGGAGGGGAAAGTGAAAATCCTGCATCAAGAGAAATTCCCATTCGAGCCACAGGTCGGAGCAGCGGTGCACCCCGTGATGAAAAACAGCTTGCCGGTGAGGGTGATGATATCCGCCTGAACTTCGGCGCGGTCCTCATTGCGGCAGCCTCGTCTGCCGGATCTGGCGCTACTGTTTCCGCTGACGGTGTAGCAAAGCTGCTGGACGAGTTGGCTCGCGCCTCATCGCGGACGGACTGCGCCAGCGACGCGGCCCGGGCTGACGTGCTCGATGTGGATGTGCTCATCTTGGACGCTGTTGAGCGCGTCTTGTCTGGGTATAGCGAGCTGGTCGTGCCCCCTGCCGCAACCAGAGGAGAGGCATTTGCGTCAGAGATGGAGCGTGCCTCGCTGGCAAATCTTCGTAGTGTCGCTGCGGCATTATCACATCGGCCACCGTTCTCCGGGCCCGTGCTTGCCGCTCTCTTCCAGCTTACAATCCTAGTGGTGAAGCACGCACCGCCGACGGCCCTTGACGAGGCAGGGTGCCCTGTTCTCGTTTCCCTGCTGGAGCTCCTTGGGTGCCTGCCGCGTTGTGCCGTGACTGGCGGGGCGCCGAGTATTCTGCGAGTGGTCCGCATCACGGCGCGGAATGTGATGCGTCGTGTTGGCCCTCGTCTCTTTCCTGTGGATGCCCCGGCGCCTCAGCAGAGCGGCATAGGGATGATGGCGATGCCTGAGGAAGTCGACCGCAGTCTGATCCCGTGGGTGGAGCGGCACCTCCTACCACTACGCGTTGTTAGTGGCGTGGGTGCGCAGACAGAGCTCAAGGAGGACCGGCGGCTCGCGCTGTTACTGCTTGACTTCATGCTTCACGGGGACGCGCGCAGCATTGGGCCCACCTTTCTTGTCACAGTACAGTATCTCGCCGATGCTGTGGTCTCGCTCCTCGAGGCAGAGGAGGGCGGTATAGACGGTCACGAGAGAGAGATAGCGCTCGCCTTTCTGCAGCGGGTCGACCGCGTGTTTTCCGCTGAGGCAGCACAGCCCATGCGTGCGGGTGGCGTCCCATTTGTCCACTCCCAGGCCCCGGTTCCAGCACAAGCTGTTTCTGAGTTTCTCCTCACCAAGGACGCGGCATACCTGCGAGAATTCGCCCAGTTGCGTCGCTTTATTGAGGAAGAGCGCGGCACACAGGCCGTCCTACGTCACCACTTGGGGGAACTCGCTCAGGAGTGCGAGGAAGTTCGGGATGGTATGAGACAGAATCTTCTTAACACACTGACGCTGTGCAAGATGGAATCAGCAAGTCTCTCATTGACGAAAGAGGTCTACTCGGCCGACACACTACAGGAAGGGGCTTCTTCTCCAGCTGCGGCGTGGGTGGACGGCATGATGAGTCGCCTTCAGCCGGTGGAGGAGCTTGTTGTCAGTCTGTGCGAGGAGGAGCGGGAGCACCCAACTTCAACCTGAACAAGAGGGCCCGTTGCTGTTGTTGTTTTTGTTTGGTGTGTATGTGCGGTTGTGTGTGTGTGTGTGTGCCACAACTTCAGAAACTCAAGAGGATCACAGACAGAGCGACAGATGGATCTTTTCATGGTCATCACAACTGGTGGAGCCGTTTCGTTTAAGAAGTATATATACACATGTTTACTTTTTAATGTTGCTATACATCTGCCGCACGTGGTTGTAGTTACTTTTTTCCTCTGTATTTTTTTTGTACTATACATTGTGTGTTTATGACCGCAATCTTCTTGGGACGCGCACCCTATAGGTAAGGTTTTGCATACACAACGTATCGAGGAAGACAAAGGCAATCTTTTGTGTGTAATGGCCCAACAGATGCAGTACTACGCTGCCCAGCAGCAGCTCCAGCAGGTGCAGCAACCACAGGCACCGGCTCAGATGAATCCCGAATCTGATTTGTTGCGTAACCTCATGGTAAACTATATTCCCACTACGGTTGATGAAGTTCAGCTGCGCCAGTTGTTTGACCGATTTGGACCAATTGAGTCCGTCAAGATCGTGTGTGACCGCGAGACGCACCAGAGCCGGGGTTATGGATTTGTGAAGTTCCAGAGCGCGGCGAGTGCGCAGCAGGCTATTTCGGGGCTGAACGGCTTCAGCATTCTCAACAAGCGCCTAAAGGTAGCATTGGCAGCCAGCGGCCACCAGCGTGCTGGGCCTGTCAGTGACGGCGGATACTTCGGCGGGTACGGCAGCTATGGTGCGTACCCCTCCGCTGCGAATCCCTATGCCCAGCAGCAGATGATGGCGATGTACCAGCCGTATATGATGCAGCCACAGCAGCAGCAGCAGCAGCAGCAGCTTCAGCCACTGCCTCCGTCCCCACAGCAGCAGCCGCAGTCACAGCAGCCGCAACAACAACAACAGCAGCAGCCGCAACAGCAGCAGCAGCAGCAACCTCAGGGCAGTCGTCCCGCTCGGAAGTGAAACTGACGTGCCATTATGATAAGGGGCGAGAGAGAAGAGATAGGGGAGTGCGTATGCTGCTAGATGAAAATATATAGGTAATGCAACGATCTCTTTCCCCGTGTGTGTGTGTGCGTGTGTGGTGTGAGGAAGGTGGAACGGACACCTAGATTAATTTATATGAAGAAAGACACAAGAAAGAATCCCGGGGGAAAAAGGAAAAGATGAAAACGAAAAGAGAAACACAATACAAAACAAAAGAAAAACAGAGGAAAGGCAAAAAAAAAGAGAGAATTGAGAATAAATAGAAGGGAAAAAGAAAGCAAAAGAAATTGGTGCAAATGGTGTGGAGGAGCGATGAATGTTATGAAAATCGCCAGGGATTTGAAGAAGAAGAGAGAGAAAAAAAAAAGAGACAAAAAGGTGTGCGAACGTCAAAGGCAGGAGCTAAGATAGGATGAAGATCGAGGAAGAGAAATAAGGCGGCTTCTGAAGACGTGCTCAATACAGAGCACCCATTCGCTATGGCTGTTATACGCCCTGTGACCCCGCCCCACACTCTTACTCATGTTGTGGCAATCTTGTGTCAGCAGACGCACGTCACCGCTCCTCACTGCCGTCGGCGACGTGAGAGAGAAACACCGGCTGCCCCAAAGTGAAGGGAATATTGATTGAATGATTTGGTTTGAATTCTTTTGGTTTCGCATCTGCCGTACGCGTGGCTTTTCCTCTTACGATGACTGAATAGATGATGATGATGATGATGATGATGATGTTCTGGGTCCGCGGACGCACGCACGCACAAACACAAATAAGCACGCACCTGCTTTGGGGCGAGTGGCAAGGCGGAGAAAAAGAAAGCGCGAGTTGGGACGCGAGGGACGATTGAGAGAGACGGAGAGTTGGACTGTTTTTTTTTGGTTTTACTACAGAGCCCTTTCGTAGTTTGTATCCTGTCTGCCCTGTGCTCGCCCTTTGTTATTTATTGCCGGCGCAAAGCCCCCATATCTTGAGGTCCTTTTGTTGTTTGACAGGCGAGTCGCTCCTGCCCTTTCGTGGATTTTTGGCTTTGGTTATCTGTTTCGCTATCGCTGTGCCATCGCTTCATGCGCGCTGGGATTGCTTTTGTTGGCTTGCTCTCCTTTTGGTTTCCTGAACTTCGCGTGTGGAGGACTTATCGGCTGAATGAAACACCTGATGGTGCCAATGCGGGCCGTTGTGTGTGTGCGTGTGTACGGATGTATGTATATAAATATATAATACGTGTGCTGATGCATGTATGTGTATGTGTCATTTCTTTTTGTGATGTGCAGTCTGACGCCTGCTGTGTGGTGTGTTGGTGATTCGGTGCCGCCATCGTCTTTCTTTGTGTCTTTTTATTGTTAATGGCGTGGCGCTGTTGCTGATGGATTCCTTTTTTTTGTTTCGTTCGTCCGCACGACGCCGCAGCTGCCTCCCTCCACTCGCCTCGCAGCTGTAAGGAGGGGAGCGTGGGTGGGCGGCACGCATGCGGTCCGTGTTTCTTAAAGCCCGGGCGCTTCGTGCGCCCCGCGCCGCGCCGTGAAGTCGGACTGCGACGAGAACAGAGAAAGACCTACCGGGCGCCCCCGCTCTCGTGGCGGGGGGCGCACGCGTGGTCCGCCCCGCGTAGGGGGCACGTGCGTAGCCGTCGTTGGGCAGCAGGGAGGGACGTGCTGCCCAACACACACACACACACACAGAGAAAGAGAGAGAGAGAGGTATACACTGCTCCACAAATGTATATATATATATA